CCAGGACTTAAGTTTTGCGTGTACACTTCGAGTCACTGATTTTGTTTAGTTTTGACATATGATTCCATTTATAATCAATAAGATCTCACGGCTAACCTTCCATATACATTTTACTTATGAAATCAACTCTTCTTTGTGCAGGTAAAAAGAAAGTACATTTTTATTGATAATTCATACACTCTGTTCAATTCATTTTTGTTTGCCACCTCTTCATATGTATTAAGTGTGTTTGCGTGTCTGTGTGTCTGTGTGTGTGTGTGTGTGTGTGTGTGCTTGTGTGCGTGCACGAGCGCGTTTGTGTGTTTATGTGAATAAATGAAGATAGGTAACGTGTTTAGAAGTTTTCTTCTTGCCTCTGCTGTCTTTGCTAATTACACGAACAGTTCTCACATTTGTATCTAATGCGATAAATCTATTCACACACAAGATAAAAGCCTTCTGCACACACACACACACACACAAAACATTTCTATGGGCCATGCGAATAATTTAAGTGATTGAATATTTGGTGACTATATCTCGTACTTCCACTTACCATGAAAGCTTACATTATTCCTAATTTCATCCGGGTTCAAATGACCGAATTTTCTGCTTTTCTCAAGCAAACAACACAGGGCAGGTGGTCGCTGTCGTGGTACCCCAGTGTACTCCATCTACAAACAGGGCCGATGGTGGGCCACACTAGAGCCAAGTCAATCACACTGTCAGAGTCACTTGGTCGAGTGGCTATTCTAGTGACTTGTCCGTCACCCAAACATATCGAGTTGGGCGACATTTGAGCCAAGTCAATCACACTGTCAGAGTCAAAATCTGGTCATTCAGTGGCGAGCTATATTGTCCGTCTGCCTTCTGACATCTGGGTAAGTGAATATTAGCCCAGTCTGCCTAGTGAACAGAAAGTGAATAGTCTCTATATTGATGGTACCAGTTGTGGTCTCGTTAACTACTCGACTTGCCTTTCTATCAAATTTCGAGTAGCACCGACAATCCACAAACTCTTCCTGCAACAACTTTCACCAGGTGTGGGTTTTTCCGGTATGTTCCATTGTTCTTGTGACCTTGTCCCTCAGGCGAGCAATTACCTCTGCCGTGTGCAGTTGCAGTAACCCCCCACCCCCACCCCTTACCCCCAAGTGGGTCCTGTTGATGACAAATTGCTAGCCCCAGCTTATGAAAAAATCTCTGTTGATAAAATCTACATCCTGTATGGCCAAACTTTCGTGTTGAAATCTACGCGACAAAACAATTCCTATCTATATAAGGCGGGGGTTCTACTACAGGTGTAGCATCTGCAGCTTCAAGTAGAAGAACCAGAGGACAACATAAAGTGACTACAATGTACACAAAGAGAACTGCGCTTGGTCTGCTGGCTGTTGCTGCCTGTGTGGTGTGTGTTAATGCTGTCGGTAGGTAGATTGTAATCGTTTAATGTTAGCAAAATTTAACTCTCGATCTATTTTTCTTTCTCTCAAACTCTCTCTCTCTCTCTCTCTCTCTCTCTCTCTCTCTCTCTCTCTCTCTCTCTCAGACTCTTTCTCTCTCTCTCTCTCAGACGGACGGTCTCTCTCTCTCTCTCTCTCTCTCTCTCTCTCTCTCTCTCTCTCTCTTTCTCTATCTCTTAATCTCTCTCTCTCTCTCTCTCAAACTTTCTCGAGTTTTTATGACATTGTAAATCTTTCTAGTTTAGTTTCGTAGCCTTTACCTCGTTTAGCATGGATTATAATTTCTTTTTATTTCTGAAGCCTTTCTTTCGTTTTTTCTTTCTTTTTGTTTCTTTCCTTCTTCCATTTCTTTCTTTCTTTCTTTCTTTCTTTCTTTCTTTCTTTCTTTCTTTCTTTCTTTCTTTCTTTCTTTCTTTCTTTCTTTCTTTCTTTCTTTCTTTCTTTCTTTCTTTCTTTCTTTCTTTCTTTCTTTTCTTTTTTCTTCTTTCTTCTTTCTTTCTTTCTTTCTTTCTTTCTTTCTTTCTTTCTTTCTTTCTTTCTTTCTTTCTTTCTTTCTTTCTTTCTTTCTTTCTTTCTTTCTTTCTTTCTTTCTTTCTTTCTTTCTTTCTTTCTTTCTTTCTTTCTTTCTTTCTTTTTTTCTGTCCTTCTTTCTTTGTTTCTTCACTTTTCTTCTGCTTCTTCTTCTCCTCCTCCTCATGCAATAAAATGGTATATCTACTTGTTTTGTTTTTCTTTGTGTAGAAGAAACAGTAGAAAGATGCACATTGGCTTGTCCAGATGGTCAAGTGCTCAGTAAGTTTGGTTGCAGATGTGTCCCAGTGCAGGAGCCCCAAGTCCAGTGCCCCCTGTTAGACTGTCTATCAACCGAACCCCCATGTTTGACCTACAAGACCAACGCTACCACTGGATGCGAGACCTGCGATTGTTTGTCTTACTGTTCCACAGGTAAGTGTCCGTTTAATTTGTTGTAATAGCTGCTGTTGTTGGGAGCTGTCGGGGTGTAGCGGCTAGACGCTCGCCTTCTGATCTGACTGGGGTGGTTTCAGATCCTGATGGAACTGGACTTATTTCAAAATATATAGCCTTAAAATGGGATCAGGTAAAGTCATTGGAAGTAAAGGCGGTCGGTGTGATGCTGGCCACATTACCCACAGAGTGTCGATGGGTCTATAAAATATAGATTTAGCCCTATATGCCCTATACATATAAAGACATGAAATGGGGTCCTTTACTGAATTAACTGATTTTTGTTGATGATCTTCTTTTTCTCCTCTTCATTTAGCTTTCTCTTCTTCTTCTTCGTATTTTCTTCCTATCTCTCACCTTCCTCCTTCTCTCATCCTTCTTTTTCTTCTTCTTTTTCTTCTTCCTCGATTTGCTTCCACGCCATCACATTTCATTGCTGCAGATATCCTCTCTCTATCATATTGATGTTGCAGTTGTATCGACATTATCCAAAAATAGGCTGCACTAGTGTTTGCATTTACACTTTTTAAAAATTTTAATTAAAGAAAATTAGCAATAACTTTTGAGCCACTAAGTTCGTTTTCTCTTCCACTTCTTTTTGACACTATTTTCTCAAACCGAAAATAATCGTGTATTCTTGAAGTGCCTTATCCAATTGTCCTTAATATCTCTTTGTAAGCTGAAACTGTGTGTGTGTGTGTGTGTGTGTGTGTGTGTGTGTGTGTGTATGGGTGAGAGTGAGTGAGAGAGAGAGAGAGAGAGAGAGAGAGAGTGAGTGAGAGAGAGAGATTTAAGAAATAGAGACAAAGACAGAGACACTTGTTTGTGTTTGTTATGTTGTGAAGCTCGCTGATCTACTTTTATATCTTTTTATGATAGAAAGAAGGAGGTAGACAAACGGAGAGACTGAAAGATAGACAGACATAAATGAAGAGAGAGTTGCCTCACGGAGAGCATTAACAGAGACGTGTGTGACAAAAGACAAGCATCGATATGTAGACGGAGCGATAGACATACGAATAAATAAATCAGAAAAGGAATTTATAAAATCTGCTTACAGCATTGTTTTCTTTTAATATAATGTTACATCATTCTTTGATTATTTGTATCCGGTATAGTATAGCAGACAGGCAGACATGCTGTGTTTAGTCTTGGTAAATTATTTGCTTTAAGGCAAGAATGCCAGTTGCATTCCCTCTATATCTAGATTGTTGTTGTTGTTATCGGCGCATGAGCTTTCGCCCTTTGGCCCAATGCCATGTAGTGGAATTTGCATGTTCTTACAAGCTGTTCTTTTCCCCCCGAACAAGGTGTTCTTGTCTGGTCTCGGAGGGAATAGCATTCTTCTAGTTTGGCACTCAAAGAGATTATTTTTAACAGTTTCGCAGGGGTAGTTACAGAGCTGGCACTCTGGGGAGTGTTGTGGGGTATGTTGTGTTCTAAGTCTGAAGATAGTGGCCTGGTCCCTTCTTGTTAGATGGTTAATGCTGTCGTTAGGATCAGGGCCAGCCATATGTCTATAAACCACTCTATATCTAGATAAAACGTAAATAGTTCTGCCGACCAGCAACTGAGTTGAGTGCATGTTGCAATACTGTGAGCTGCGGAATTCATTTGGAATGCTTTTTGATTTTGCCCAGCGAGGTTTGTGTTGTGAACTGCAGATTCGGAAAATGGTAACTCGCCTATTGCCACAAAACTAGAACAAAAACAAAACTATATGAGATTGTGGGTGAGAATCCGCCCATCTATCGTAGCCACTGCTTCCACCAAAGATGATCTGTAATTCTTGTGGCGGGCTGTTTGTGTTGACACTTCTGACACTGTAACAAATGGTGTGTTTATGTTCTCGTTGTCTAGGCAGTGTTCATGCGTGTGTGGTGGATGTTCTTCTCACACGCTCCACGTTACACAACTGGCACAAGCCGACACCGATGAGAGCTTACGAGACATGAGTTTATTGACGTATTTACACTTACATAAAAGAGGTCCAGTCGTTGTCCTAGTAAACAGCTCTCGTACACAAACTCACGCAGCCTTCAGCGAGCAGTCTTCTTCAAGCATTCACTGACCAAAGTCGGCTCCCATGGATTCACGTTGAGGTTCTGGCCATCGCACACACTGGCATGGTCGATCTCGACTTCATACTTCGTCGTCAGGATCTCCTTTCTCCACAAGCACTCTTACGTTGACATTCTCACTTTCAGTCGCACGTCCTCTCACTCCAACAGGTCGACATAAAACTAAACTTGACCAGAGTCAAGTCTGACTTATACCACGGGTTAGTTTCACTTGACAACACGTGGCGACCTTTGGTCGAATTCTCGTGGTAACCGTGATAACTAGCGGTCCTCACCTATCTCAAGATTCTCGTTTAATCCGAGTATCTGGACTATCTCGGTGTTTTAGGTCAGCTTTGGGCCTTCCTCCCAACCATCCTAATCTGGGTGAAAATATCCCCCATTACAGACACCTGGCTTGTACATTTAATGTGGGCGTAAGCTATTTGCTTTGCTGGAATTCGAAGTCCGTTTCAGTTTATTTCCGATCTGACTGCTTCGATGCTTAAGTGTTCTCCTTTTTATTCCACAGGTGAGCCAGTCTGCGACTTGACTTGTCCAATAGGTGAATTTTTGAACATAACTCTTTGCAAGTGTTTTCCAAAGCCGGAATGCCCACTTCCGAGATGCCGGGCTCTATCGCCTCCCTGCTTGTCGTACCTGAGAAACGATAAGGGTTGCCAAACGTGCGAATGCATCTTCCGCTGCCCTTTACGCAAGTGTCCAAAGAAGTGCCCTAACGGAGTTGAGTATTTCGATGACCAGTTCGGTTGTAAATCCTGTCGATGCAAACAACCCAGGAATTGTAAAGCTTCAACCTGCACGGTGTATTGTGCTAAAGGATACGAGAAAGACGAGAGAGGGTGCGACAAATGCGAGTGTCAACCTTGCGGGAACCTTTGCAAAATTGGTTGCAAATTTGGGAAACTGGTGGATTTTGATGGATGCCAGGTTTGTGACTGCAAGCCAAATTCAGATTGTGGGCCAGTCTGTTCGAATGCAACATGTGAAAATGGAAGAGTGCTGGATAGACAAGGATGTCCTACCTGTCAGTGTGTGAAACAGTGCCCATGTGGACCTGTGTGTGCAATCGCCTGTACGTACCAGCAATTGTACGACAAATATGGGTGTCCAACTTGTACATGTTTGCCAGAACCTTAATGTTCCGGCTTGCCTGCCATCTCTTAGAGGATATCTTAGACGAATATCATCGTCTATTTTGTACTTGTAAACAAGCTTAAAATGTTTAGCAGTGTTAGCAGTTTTTTTCTCCTCTGCATTTATAGAGTATATTGTTGTCTTTGTTTATTGGTGGCAATCCTCCGGGGTTTAATACTATTGTCGAGCGAGTAATTAACTCGTTTCCCCCCGTGACCTAGACACACAAAAAGTGGAGAGGGGGTGGGGGTGGAACTGACTTGCTTTGGATGTTTTCAGCCCAAAATATTATGCTTACCTTACCCTTAGTGTTACAAAGCCTGACATATTATATGCCATCTAGTTTGAAAATGTAGGTGGAGGCAGTCACTGGGGCCTTCCACTGGCTTGAAAACCCAGATGCACGTACATATGTTTCTGGCTTCTTTACTAATTGCCCAATATTTATCGCCTATTATTTTTTCTGTTGATAAATACATTTTGGTCGAAACGTTAAGGTATATCTGTACATGTTGTTACTGATTCCCATAGTAAACGTTTTATTAATATTGTGTTTTGTGTTTAATTACTTTTTAGAAACAATAAAGGCTGGTAAGAACCGACAAAATGTATAATGTGTTTTCTTTTGTAAACACTTCATATTGTGGCACAGTCGTGCCTATACATCCCCCAAGAAATAGATGTGCCTAAGTCGGCCAAGTTGAATGAATATGGTTCGTATCTCTCTTCAATCGTACTCAAGAACAAGGCCAGTGATGTAATCAATTACATAAGAGCTGGTTTATTCATAATATTCTCGTCACACACATTTCATAAATTCAATAAGCAATAGTATATGAACACTCCTTATTACTGGCTATTCGTATGCCTCTACGAGTTCCTTAACCACTGTTCTGGCTAAACTCCTAGTTTAACATATACCTTCTAAACGAAGTAAAGCACTAGTTTTCTCCTAACCGGTTTCTCTAGCGGTCTAGCCCTAACTGTCTTCTCATGGCGGTTCCGGGGCTAACTCACTGTTCTAGCTAAACTCCAAGTTTAACATATACCTTCTAACGAAGTACAGCACTAGTTTTCTCCTAACCGGTTTCTCTAGCGGTCTAGCCCTAACTGTCTTCTCATGACGGTTCCGGGGCTAACCGTCCTCTCCAGCGGTTCCGGGACTAACTAACCTCTCAAGCGGTTCCGTGACTAACTTTATTCCCCCGCTTTCCCGCTCTTTTTTGGCGTACCTTCTCCATCACTTCTCTGTCACCTGTCTTTGGTGGTCACGTCTGGATGAACGTATCTCATCAGCTGGTCACAGTTCACGGGCACTCGTCGAATGTTTCATCCCTCACTGTCAGATGTCATGGCGGTGTGTTCTGCATAGCTGGCTAGGCCATGGCTTTCTAATCACCTATTTCTGTCATTTCACACAGTGATGGATTAGTACGCCGTGTGGTGGTCTGAAATGTGAAGAATGTTACTTGTACAAATTATGTATGAGCTAAATAGCTCTCTTTACTACTAAAGTCGTCCACTTATGGGATGCAATTTTCGGTTTTTTTGAAGCCCCACCCTGGCTGTTGCCGGGGGCACTAATATAAGCTAATGGTTGAACAGGGTTTCCGGGACCTCTCCACCGATGATCCTCATCCTCAAGGTGGCATTTTGTGTCACCGGATGTTTATCGCTCTGCGCGATGTCGTGGTTGTGTAGAGCTTACTTACTAACTTACTAGCTCTCTGCTAGTATCTTATTTTGAACGGACTCCAGAACATGTCCCTCAAGACTGTCCTCTCCTGCGGGCCCTGCGAAGCAACATGTGGGGACACCCAGTCGGCCTGATAACTAAGCTTCGTGTAAACCTAAGACGACGAGCTGACACCCGCAGTTTATGGTCTATAACTGCACGATCAGAAAACGCCGAAAAGAAATATTACCATTAACAACAATATTACAAAACATCAGTCAGTTACCGTCTCCACAATGGAGGTTGCAATGGATCTCCAATATGCTCTGTCTCTTGTCCTCGTTCTACTCTCTGAGACTGCTGCCCGTCCATCTCTTGATGTTGTTCTTCCACTTTCATCATGATCTACCTCTTGCTCTCTTGCCTTCGATCTTTCCCTTCGGTGTGGTTTTTTAAAAGTTTTTAAAAATTTCTTTTGATGTTGCCAACATATTTTAATTGTCTCTTTTTTCTTTTAGTAACTATTTTTATTTAAAGCCTTTCAAGGACCTCTGTATTGGACAGTTTTTGTTTCCATGGAATACAATCTATTGTTCTGTATACCAACATCTCCAGAGACTCAGTTCGATTTTCTAGTTGCTTGTTTATTGTCCACGTCACTGCACCATTTAACAGGACTGAGTATACATAACATTTGGCTATTTTCATTTTTGGTGAATTTAAAAAAAAAACAATAATAATAAACAGAGGAAGAAAAGTAGTAGTAGTCCCAGCAGCAATAGTACTAGTAACCGCAGCAGCAATAGCAGTAGTAGCAGCAGCAGCAGCAGCAGTACCAGCAGTAATAGTAGTAGCAGCAGCAATAGTACTAGTAGCAACAGCAGCAAAAGCAGTAGTAACAGCAGCAGCAGTACCAGAGTAATAGTAGTAGTAGTAGCAGCAGCAATAGTACTAGTAGCAACAGCAGTAGCAGAAGTAGAAGAAATAATAATAAAAATAATATTAATAATAATAATAAGAAGAAGAAGAAGAAGAAGAAGAAGAAGAAGGAGAAGAAGAAGAAGAAGAAGAAGAAGAAGAAGAAGGAGAAGAAGAAGAAGGAGAAGAAGAAGAAGAAGAAGAAGAAGAAGAAGAAGAAGAAGAAGAAGAAGAAGAAGAAGAAGAAGAAGAAGAAAAACAACAACAACAAGAAGAGAAAAAAAGAAGAAGAGGAAGAAGAAGAAGAAAAAGAAGAAGAAAAAGAAGAAGTAGAAGAAGAAAAAGAAAAAGAGGAGAAAAAAGAGGAAGAAGAAGAAGAAGAAGATGAAAAAGAAGAAGAAAAAGAAGAAGAAGAAGATAAAGAAGAAGACGAAGGCAAAAAAGATAAAGAAGAAGAAGAAGGAGACAAAAAGAGGAGGAAGAAGAAGAAGAAGAAGAAGAAGAAGAAGAAGAAGAAGAAGAAGAAGAAGAAGAAGAAGAAGAAGAAGAAGAAGAAAAAGAAAAAAAGGAAGAAGAGGGCAAAGAAGATAAAGAAGAAGACCTTTTCAACTTCACTCTTTGGTTCTCTGTGTATGTGTGCTAAGTTTTAGTTATATCGTCTCAACATCTGTAATACTCCTAGCCTCTAAAACTACTCCTACACACGACACACTTGTATTCTCCTTCTTCATCTACCTTCTTTCCTCCAATGACAAATGCTCTCCATCTTCAAAGGAAACACTACTAAATAATCGACTCTTACGACATGCTCGTTATAAAGGGCAGCCGGTGTATTCTTTGTTTCCTTAAAATGGGGCCCAGGAATTCACACAGGAAGCCACTGACTGTGAGTTTCATGCCTCCCGGTAAATAACACTATCCTCTGATAAGATATACAGTTGCCAACAATAACATCGTCACCCACACGCGTGTACACACGCACACACACACACCAGTTTCACAGAGGTACACGCACGGGGTACTGTCACATAACTGAACCCAATATACAGAAGTAAGCTGTAGATAATTACCACTATCAGGTCGACCCAGCCTAAAATGGGTACCAGGATGGGCTGTCCTGGGAAAGTAAAGACAGCCGGCGTAATGCTGACCACATTACCCACAGAGTGCTGATGGTCTGTAAAAATATGGGACGCTCTGCCCATATGCCCGATGCGCCGAAAGGCGTCAAAAGGGATCTTTACTTTACTTTTTTTACTTTAATTACCACTATATATATATATATATATATATATATATATATATATATATATATATATATATATATATATATATATATTTATGTGTGTGTGTGTGTATGTGTGTGATCGTATCAGTGTATGTGTGGGTGTGCAAGTCTATGCCTTTGTGAGTGTGGATAATTGTAGATGATAAATACATCTAGACGTCTCTACTGAATCGTATATCGCCCCGCTAACTGTCACAACCGTTTCTAATGCAATAGGATTTTGTTCACACTCAAGATTAAAGTACCTCACATCAAAGGGACATTCTCATGAATCATGCATTACTTTGACTGATATTTTTAGGGACAACGCCCTTTACTTCCACCTTCTGTGACAACTTCCATATTTCGTAAATTGCCAAAACCAACCTTTTATTTCGGTTGATAAAATCTATATCCTGTATGGCCAAGCCTTTGTGACAAAATCGACTCATTACAACTCACATCTATATAAAGAGGGAATTTTGCAACAGGTGGTGCATCTGAAGCTTCGAGAGGAAAGATCAGTAGACAACACAAATTGACAATGAACACTAAATCACCGGTCCTCAGTCTAGTGGCTGTTGTTACTTTTGTGGTGTGTGTAAATGCTGCTGGTAAGTAATCATTTATATTTTATAATATTTTAGTTTTGTTTTTAACCATTAAAAATTCCTAAATATGTCTTGCAGTTTGTTTTACGACTTTCGTTTTATTATATATTATCTATCCGTCATTGCATTTTCCTCTGTGTGTGTGTGTGTGTGTCTGTGTATGTATGTGTGTGTGTGTGTGAGACAAGATTTTAGATATTTGTAAATGTTCGGAAAACAAGCATAGACCCACTGCCTCGCCAACAAGCATCTCGTAACAGTCAACTAACTGGGAGCTTCTTTCAAAATTTTGGAGCCCACATGCCTGAGAGAGGCAAGGAACCAAAAGTCTGCATACAAATAAGTAGATGTGTAAAACGGATAGGCAGCAACTGTAAAGTTCCCGAACAAAACTAAAGTCCAGAAGTGGACAGCCAGCCAGACATTTTCACAGGAGTTTACAGCCGGTGAACGCTGAGTTTAAGAATGTTTTCTTCTCTTTTTTTTTTCTAGCTACATTGTGTTTACGTCTCATCTCACATATTGTAGCTGTGTTTATACATTTCCGTGACTCTCCTTGTCTGGCATTATTAGCACAACATTTTTGTGAACAGTGCATTCATCAACCGCTTTGGCGTGAGCGCAGGTTGATACTTCGATGCCTCGGAATTAAGCTGTGCAAGTAAAAAACAAATTTTCTTGGACACCTTACTTTTAAGAAGTCACATTTTGGCCTATGTGGGTGGGGGATGTCTTTTTCCTCTGCGTTCATCCGAAAATGAATTTGCGCTGTGCCCGATTAAAGCAAGGCTGCGATATATTTTTATCTTTTATATTATCTTTTTGTCGACATATCCGACTTCTGTATGCATTTGATGACCGCGTTAACCTACTGTGTGTGTGTGTGTGTGTGTGTGTGTGTGTGTGTGTGTGTGTGTGTGTGTGTGGAAAAGGGGGGGGGTGTATGTTACTGCCTACTACTTGCTATCTATTGACATCATATCAGGCGTTGCAAAAGGGAACATGTATTGAGTGAGAAAAATAAGCGTATATACTAAGACGCTTCAAAGGAAAAAATCTAACGTGTGATAGAATTACAATAATAAAGCCGTTGTCGTGTAACCAGTCATTGTTGTTGTTGAGTACATCTTTAAACTGTCATCATGACCTCACCGTGTTCGTCTGCCCCTGATATCACATGCTTAACACTCTTGACATCCTTGCAACTATATGGACAGGTTACCAGACACTGGTCGGCTCTGTGGCTAAGTCGCTGCGAACGTTTCGTAATGCCGGAATACCGAGTTCGATCCCATATGCGGGCAATGTGCCTTGCGTTAGTTTCGACAGTGGTATCAAGAAAGCCGACCGCCCAGGAAGCAATGGCAAGCTACTGGATGTAAATTTGCCTACAAAAACCACACGACAGCCAGGGGATGTTGGGCTCGGTTCTGCAAAGTCCTGTAAAGAATACGCAACTAACCTTCAGCCAGACAATGGCAGATTTATGCTTTAACCGTAAATGAACAGTTTGTATCTTTTTTACTTTCATAGAAGAAACAGTACAGACTTGCAGGCTAAATTGTGTCAAAGGCTCAATAAATCTGCTTGCAAATGTGAGCCAGTTGTTACGATCCCCAAAGGGTTAACTGGATAGTTGCCACATCTCTATGTCTGGCCTTGAAGATGAGCAATAACGACTGGTTGTAGAACATGCCATTGTCGTTTTTCTACCCCGAACTCAAATGTGAGTCTAACTGCCGACGAGGAGTTGAGAATTTTATTTACAAATTTGACTGTAATTTATGTCGATGCAAACAATAAAGGTTACGTGGGAGTACAACCGGCTGTCCGTACTAAACTACAAAAATATGAGAATGGGTGCGACATTTGCAAGTGTAAACCCTGTGGCAATCTATGTGAAATACTTTGCGAACACAGGACGTTTGTTGAATTTAACGGCTGTGAGATGTGTGAATGCAAACCAAAGTCTGAGTGTACTATGTTACTTGTGAACACAGAAGATTGCAGCTAGAGGAGCAAGGATGTCCCACCTGTCATCGTGTGCTAAAAAAGAGGGAGGTGGGGTGTGAAGGATTGTTTTTTTCGGATACGTGTACTGTGTACGTCGTGTGTGTGTGTGTGTATGTGCGCGCGTGCGTGCGTAGGTGCGCGTGTGTGTGTGTTTGACTGCTTGCCAGAAGCAAAAATAAAGCGATGTGGGCGCCATGGATTGCCCTAAACAAGGGCTTTTCAAAAAAGTTTACTTGGGGGCCGAATTTCTTTTTAAAGGGGATCGTCACGGGCCAAAGACCTGTGCTTGAGCATAGAAAGATCATTAATTCAGTACGACTGGCAATGATCCGCAGGCCACTTGCTGGGCCCGTGGTCTCGAGGCATAGCGTCCGCTTCGAGTGCTGGAGGGCCTGGGTTTAAGTCCCGGTGAAGGCTGGGATTTTTTCGCGTGGACTTCTAGTAACTTCCCCCGGTCTCTGGGCAGTAGAATCAGACGCGCGTGTGTATCCTTGCCCACACACACACCAAAAATCCTTTATCAGCTGGAAATCGAAAAGAGTAGCCTAACGGCGCAGCCCAGGCAAAATGTAGAGTTTAAAATCTACCCAAAGTATTTCAGGATCCTCGCTGGTGCTACGGAGTTCGTGCACAGCGCTGATACGCTTGAGTTAGAAGTAGAACAGAGCACTTATGGGTTACCCCGTGTGCGATGATGCTGCTCTGTTGTCCAAACCAAACCAAACTTCTGCGGACCAGATTTGAAGTCTAGTCGGGGTGGGGCTTCAATATCAAAATAATCAATTGTGTTCCATGTCCGGACGTGTTTAACATAAATATTGCTGTTAGTGTTGTTAATTGATTGACGTTCAACCCCACGAGGACGAGCGACAAACACCTGGTGACAAAATGGTTTCCTTATCGGATGTGAATCACATGGACACAAGTCCCAGAAAACCGGTTTAACCATTTAGTTATATTACGGCTCCCATCAACAGCAGCGGTGGGGATTTAAAGTAAAGAAATATTGCTTCCGAGGGCAGAGCTGTTGTTGTTGCTGTTATTGTTGGTTGTTGTTGGTTGCTGTTGTTGATGGTTGTGGTTGTTTGTGGTTGTTGGTTGTTGCTGTTGTTGTTTGTTTGATGTTGGTTGTTGTTGTTGTTGTTGTTAGTGTCAGTGTTGGTGTTGTTGTCGTTGGTTGTGGCTGTGGTTGTTGTTGTTGTTGTTCTTTTTCTTCTTCTTTTTCTTTTTCTTCTTCTTCTTCTTCTTCTTCTTCTTCTTCTTCTTCTTCTTCTTCTTCTTCTTCTTCTTCTTCTTCTTCTTCTTCTTCTTCTTTTTTTTTTCTTCTGCGTTCATCCGAGACGTAATTGTGTAGTGCCCACTTAGAGAAAAGCTGCTATATTTTGGCCTTTAGGCCGGTTCAGGGAGTCTTCACGCATGTGTTGCCCTGGTTAGCCCTCCCGGAGCTTGCGATTTAATTATGCCCCTTTGCCAACATAACATACAGTATTTTAGACATATACCTTCAAACAACCGTTTGATCTTACATTTGCGATCGCTGAGCCTGTTTTTTGCAACATGCGGTGGAGCATTGATTTTCAGCCTGGGGGTGTCAAGCCATTGTGAATATTAGATGAATTTCTACTTGTATTAATATGTTATAGGTTAGTTGCGTATCCTTTACGCGACGTTGCAGAACCAACCCCAGCAGCTCCTGGCTTTTGTGTTGTTTTTCTAGGCAAATTTACGTCTAGTAGTTTGCCATTGCTTCTGGTCGGTAGGCCCCCGATACCACTGTCGAAACCAACGCAAGGCCCATGGCCCGCAGCTGGGATCTAACCCGGCAGCCAGGCATTACGAAGCGTTCGCATCGACTTAGCCACAAAGCCGACAGTAATCTGTTATACTAACGACAATTTTGTTTCTCGTTTAACTATAAAGGATAAAAATAAAAAATAAAAAAGAGCAAGCCAAAGATGTTAGGGGGTGGGGGGGGGGGGGGGGGGGTTGGGGGTATGGATTCCTGAGCAGTTGGATAAGTTTAAAAAAAAAACTTGGTTTTCCTTAAAACTACGGCCACTTATTATGGAGTACGCTGGAGTTCAGTCCCCTGGCTGCATTGCAATTATGGAGTGGAAAAGAGGGAACGACACAAATGACGTAAGTACTGTGTGTTGGCGATCGACAACGTGAACCGATGACGTAATTACTGTGTGTTGGCGATAGATGCACTGCTGTCATAATAGGGTTAGGGTTAGGGTTTGGGTTAGGGAATTAGTACTCCTTAAACCTACGGCCACTCCTAACCCTACGCCTAACCCTAACCCTAACCCTAACCCTAGTATGACAGCAGTGCATCTATCGCCAACACACAGTAATTACGTCATTTGTTTTGTTCCCTCTTCTCCACTCCCGAATTGCAATGCGGCCAGGGGACTGAACTCCGGCGTACTCCATAATATGTGGCCGTAGTTTTAAGGAGAACCAAAAACTTGTGTCAACCAGCACATTAATATTTGGACACAACATTACTTATTTTTTTTTTTTTTATGTTTCATTGAGTCTGTTAAGCTTTTTACATTTTGATCTATGTAGATGGTTTGTTATAAGTTCTTGCTCATTAAACTTGAATTTTTCTCGTTGTCCTCGTCTTTTCAATCAAATTTCTTTTTAAAATTGGAACCGGGTTTGGGATCACGCCTACAATTCAAGAGGGTGCCACCTGAAAGAGCTGAAAACCACTGCGATAGAGCGAGCGACCTCTACTGTCATTGATTGCCTTTAATTACCACTTTCGCGGTGTAGACGAGGGGAGATGGGGGCAGGGTTCTTAAAGTTTGAGGATTTAGGGCCGCATGGCTAGTGCTGTTGTCACGGACTGTACAGGTTATCATTTTATCTACCCCCCCCCCCACCCCCAAACACCCCACAGAATATGTGAATAGATGGGTGGAGCACTATTTGGAACTTTACTCTCTAGAGACCAGACCAGGCGCATTTAAAGCCATGGAGGTTGTGCCAACTCTTGACCACCTGGATACACTTCCAACAATGGTAGAAGTTAGCTGTGCTATTGATGAGCTTGCTTCTGGCAAGGTTCCAGGCAGTGAGGGAGTTTCATTAGGGTTGATAACTGTGTGCAATGACAAATGGTTCACATCTCCCGACTTTACCTTTTACCTTTATCTTTACGTTGCAAATGAACCCCAGGTGTTTGACTGATTCCTTGTGGGAGTTTCCGGCTCACAGTGCCACATCGTGCATTTCTCGGACTGAAAGAATTGAAGAATGACTATTTATCCTTTGCGTTCATCCATAAAAGGGCCGTTGTCGTATGGTGATGTGGTTTACGAATAGGCTGTGATGTCAGCACATTTCGGCCCAACACATCCGATCTCAACAAATCCTAATTAATCGCCTTCATTACTAGGCTGGGAGTCGCCGTGGTATATCAGCTAGATGCTCGCCTGCTGATCGGAATGTCGTGGGTTTGGGTCCTGATGGAGTCGAACTTTTTTCACAAAAAAAAAAAAAAAAAAAAATTACCGTGGCTCCCAGGTCGACACCATCTTGAGTGGATACCAGGTGCAGTCTAAGAAGTAAAGGCGACCGGCGTAATTCTGACCTCATCACCCACCAAGTGCCAATTGGTCTATTAAATATGGGGTGTAGCCCTATATGCAAAATAAGCCTAAAGGCATGTAAAATGGTCTTTTACCTTTTACTTTTTTTTTTTAAACTAAAAAAGTGGCCTTGGAACCCACACCGGTGAATAATCAGTTGTTAAAAACATTCCGGTTAAATCTTGGTTTTTGACCTCGCACTCTCTCAAGCAGACATCAGTTCAGTAAACGTTAAATACAACAAAAAATAAAACATAGAAAACAAATGTAATGAACCATTTAAAACACTCTTGTCAACAATTGACATTTTTCGATGCATTTCACAAACAAAGCAACAAGTGTATTCTGGTTTAACATTTTTGACCTACTTCAATGAGAAAAACAACCGGTTTTGGAAAACAGTGACCCGTATTGCCGCATTAGTGTTAAATTTTGTCAAAGAACATACTGACCTAACTCCAACCCCATCCTCCAACACCCCCATATTTTTGTTTGCGGAATTAGATGTTAATGCATTCTAGACGTAACCTTGCGTTGGTTTCGACATAAGTTTCTAAAGGGTTAGGAAATTATAGGGAAGAGAAAAAGCTGGTAAGAAAAAACAAACAGTTAATGTTAGCTTTACAAAATCGATCACAAATGTTGGTTTCGACAGTGGTATCGAGAAGCCGACCGTCCAGTAGAAATGGCAAACTACTGGACGTAAACTTGCCTAGGAAAACCACAACAGTCTAAAAATGCTGGGGTTGGTTCTACAACGCCCTGTAAAGGATACGTAACTAACTGTTAATTAGATGTTAATGCATTCTAGACGTAACCTAAAGAGTTTCAGTATCTAGTTTCCTTACTCTTGTCTTCTTTCGCACACAGTTATGGTCAAAGATTTTTCAGTACATTTATATAACACATGAAAAATAGATTATTAACCATGTAAAAAAAAAAAAGTAAAGGACCCTTTACCAAACCTTGAGGCGTATAAGGCATATAGGGCATATAGGGCTAGACCTCTATGTATAAACCATGGGGAAAACAAATATAGAAATATATTATTTGCGTTGTTTTTAGTATGGCACTACAGTCTGATCTGGTTTGACTGATTCACTAATATACAACTTTATGGGAAGAGCCAAACACATTTCAGTGAATCCAGGGGTGAAGAAAAGACGTTGGCGTTGGATAGGACGGAGAACTAGCCCAAAAATATTGTGTTCGAATTCGGAAAAGACACACACAGAGGTCGGGGGAAAAAAAAGGGGGTGAATGGGGCGAGGAATTACCATATTTTCCTATGACGTGATTGTCTATAGGAGCAAATATGGCCTAGTGTAGAGTCATCATCATCATCATCAGGTGCCTTGCCGACTAGCGTGGGCGATCATGCCTCTCCATAATCCACGCTCTGCAGCATGTATCAGTTCGTGTGCCGACACACCTGCATGCCATGCAGCAAGACTGTCAAGCATCTTCTCTCGTTGTCTTCCTCTATCCCTCCTTCCACAGATCTTTCCAGCGGTCACAACATGTTCTATTTTCCCTCTTCTCATAACATGGCCGAACAATGATGACTGTCTCCTTCTCCCGCTTCTTTCAAATCCTCTTGGTTGCTCTTTTTGGCTGTCCAAGGTATTCTAAGCATTCTTCTGTTAAGCCACATCTCTGAGGCCTCAAAAAATTAGTGTAGAGTAAGCTTGCATAATTAGAAAAGGACTCTGGTAGATCTGGCGTTAGAGCAGAATGCTTTACTCTATCGTGTGTACATCTAGGCTTGAACCAGCTTTCATAAAAAGTGACCAATAGCAAGGGCCTTTTTACTATTGGTGGTACGAAACCGCACCCAGTACCGGTACCTTTTTAAAGGTATCATTTTGTTGGCACAGTTATAACAGTCCCTGCTTCTTTTTAGACACTTTGTGGTTGGTAAAGGCAACATTCTAAAAAAAAAAAAAAAAAAAAAATAATGTGAATAAAAGTAAGTAATACACACACATACACACACACACACACATACATATCTGTGAACAATTTATATTGAATCATTTCTTATTTAAATAATGCGGATACAAACAATACATTGCACAATTTATTGTCAGGCATATTTCGCTTTATCTCATCAGGTGCGTTACTACAGAGTTACATCAACATAAAATAAAGCACAAAACTGAATAAATTCAACTGAAATGCGAATTTTACATTTCAGTTTAAATTTTCTTATTTAAACTTTACACTTTATATTTTTAATCGAGAAAAATACTTGAAACATGAATATAGTGTTTATTACCCATTTGTTTGTTTGTTTTATTTTTAAAGGAACAGGACGTACCTGCACCCTGTGTTGTCCGGAAGGTCAAGTGCTCAACAAATCTGCTTGCACATGTCAGCCAAAAGGCCCCAAAGTGGAATGCCCTCTAGTTAACTGCCTGGCTACCGAACCCCCGTGCTTCGTCTACAAGACGAACCCTACCACTGGATGCCAGACCTGCGAATGTTTGTCATTTTGCTCCTCGGGTAAGTGTCTGCCTAATTCAGTGCTGGGCTTAGGCACAAGCTTAAGTTACAGCTGAGGGCTTTGCAATCTACAGATGCCTCAACATGTTTTGTATGGTGTCCGCCTCGAGTGCTAGAGGTCCCGGGTTCACGCCCCGGTGAAGGTAGGGATTTTTCACATGGACTTCGAGTAATTTCGCCTTGATCGCTGGGTAGTGAGACCAGACGCCCGCGTGTATTGTTGCGCACGTAAAAAATACATTGGCAGTTGGAAATCGAAAAGAGTAGCCAAACGGCTCTGTCCGAGGAAAATTTGGAGTTAAAAAATCTACCCAAAGTATTCTAGGATCATCGCTGGTTTAAAAGAGTTCCTGCACTGCGCTGATAGCGGAGCACCTACAGGTTACACCTGTGTGCCATGATGTTGATCCGTTGAAGAAATAAACAAATACATATATATTGTATATATATATATATATATATATATATATGTGTGTGCGTGTGTGTGTGTGTGTGTGTGTGTGTGTGTGTTCGTGGATACATAGTAAAGGACCTCTTTCCACGCTAGACCTTTATTTTATAGACCAATCGACACTTGTTGGTTGATGAAATCAACATCAGGATTCCGCCTTTACTTCTAGGAACTTTACCTAATATACTCATATATATATATATATATATATATATATATATATATATATATATATATATATATATATATGTATATGTATATATCCATCTATCCATTCATACATACATACATGTTGTTGTTCTTCCATCACGAGTGATGAAGACCACTTTCATCCAAAGTAGTTATGATCAATGATTATGAGTCCGAAGGTGGCTAATTAGTCCAATATGAGCCTGGAAAGTTCTTGAGCAGTGCGGACAACAGGTGGAAGCCTCAGTAAGTGTGGGATCAGCAGTGCGATTCTTTCTAGTCTGTCTTCTTTTCTCTGCCTGTGCAACCTCCGCAGCCTGGCAGGCCAGTGCACCATGCCTGAGGTACCTAGGCCATCCAAAACGGTCTTGTGCAGCAGCCTCTCATGACTTTGTGTTAATGCCAAAAGAATTGAGAGGTATCTTATGAGTGTCCTTATAGAGATTTTTTCTGTCCTCCCTGGGACGTTTTCTCTTGATGGAGTTCGCCATAGTATACTCTCGTTGGAAGGCGATATTCTGGCATGCGGGTTAGGTGACCAGCCCAACGCAGCTGATCATTCTTCAGTATCGTATGGATGATAGGCAGGTTTGCCCTATCAAGAACCACAGTATTTAGGATCTTATCTGGCCATTTGATTTTGAATAGATTTCTGAGACAGGTTATATGAAATCAATTCAACTGTGTAGCATGGCGCTGATACACAGTCTACGTTTCGCAAAACGTATTGCACTAGTGGAAGAATTACAGCTTTGTAAACCTTTAGCTTGGTCAGCAGGGAGATACCACTTCTGTTCCAGACACTGTTATAGAGTCTGCCGAAACTGCTGCTGGCCTTTGAGATTCTAGCGTTGATCTCGTCGTTGGTGTTGACTCTCTGAGATAGGGTACTGCCAAGAAAATTGAATCTGTCAGCTACATGTAGCTTTTGATCATTTACGGCGATACTAGCATCACAGTATTGTTTTTTTTTTTCCTTTTTTTTCTAGGAGCCGATTGATAGATAACAAAGGTTTTTTTCAGTGTTGATGGTTAGCCCGAAGTTGGTACGGGCTTAAGAAAATCTATTAATGTTGTACTTCATACTGGCCTCAGAACTGGAGTTTAGAAAGACAAATAAAGTCAGTCATAATACTAAGTTATGACGACCATTTGAATGTGAATGCAATGTTAACATCTTGCTTTGTTTTGTTATCTTGTATCCTGCACTGTTCTCTTCTATGCTTCACAGGTCAGCCATTCTGCGACTTGGTGTGTCCAGAAGGTGAACTACTAAACGCAACTATTTGCAAGTGTTTTCCAAAACCTGAATGTCCTTTGGTAAAATGTCAGGGTCTGACGCCTCCCTGCTTGTCGTACCGGAGAAACGATAAGGGTTGCCAAACTTGCGAATGCATCTTCCGTTGCCCTGTGCGCACATGTCCAGAGAAGTGCCCTAACGGAGTTGAGTATTTTGATGACCAGTTCGGTTGTAAATCCTGTCGATGCCAACAGCCCAAGAATTGTGAGCCTTCCACCTGCACACTGTACTGTGCTAAAGGATACGAGAAAGACGAGAGAGGGTGCGACAAATGCAAGTGTCAACCTTGCGGGAACCTTTGCAAAATTTATTGCGAATTTGGAAATCTGGTGGATTTTGATGGATGCCAGATTTGTGACTGCAAGCCAAATACAGATTGTGGGCCAGTCTGTTCGAATGCAACTTGTGAATATGGAAGAGTGTTGGATAGACAAGGATGTCCTACCTGTCAGTGTGTGAAACAGTGCCCATGTGGACCTGTTTGTGCAATCGCCTGTACGTACCAGCAATTGTACGACAAATATGGGTGTCCAACTTGTACATGTTTGCCAGAACCTTGATGTCCAGACGTCTTTCCCATCTATTGTCCATATGAGGACGTTTCAGACTATAGATCCCCAAACTGATTTCCCTAAAGACCCTTCTATAATAATTACAAAAAAAAAAAAAAAAAAATTGTCGTGGTCAAAATTGTACTATCTAAACACAGAAACGACGCATTGGTAATAATTATGGAAACTTATGTAAAAATTACGAGTTTTACCGCTGTTGCTTATCCAACGAAACAAGATCAGAAATCCTCCCCCCTCCCCCAGTGTAATTCTCTTTTGTAATGCCTGTAACGCCCCATTCTTATGTGTTGTGAACGTTCTTCGTAATGCCGGGATGCCGGGTTCGATCACAGCTTCGGATGATTTTGTCTTGGTTTCGATAATGGTACCGAAAGCTGACCGTGCAGGAATGTTAATCTACTGGACGTAAAATTTGTCTAGAAAAATAACAACAGGCAAAAAATGCTGTGTTTGGTTCTGCAACGTCCTGTAAAGGATACACTACTAACTAACCGTCCCCTGCCTTTCACCTTGCGCCATTGAGGCTTTTACACACTACCACTGCGCCTTGGATCGTTCTAATGACCCCTAATTATATATTGGTCAATTCCAGCATTACCCCCCCCCCCCTTTCTTGTTTGCTGGAAAGTATTTAGAGAGAAAGTGGTGGGGGGGGGGGGGGGGTGGCGTTATCGACCACTTTGAGAAAAAAAAATTGTAAACAAATATCATTATCCCATTTGTACTTACTCAGCCAGACCCAAAATGTTCACCAGCTATTAAGAACCTTTAACCCGATAAGACGCATGACCAACTGGTCTCCATGATCCATCACCATAGGGAGTGTTTCAACATGGGTCTTCTGTATGAAACCTCAGTGCTCTAACAACTTGTTCAGTCGCTCCTCTACTGGGATATCTGTTGACAGTAATTAATATAGATGTATGCCCCTATTTTATGTATGTTAGTTTTTTGCCTATCCTTTTCATGACGTTGCAGAACCAACCCAAGCATTTTTCGACTGTGGTAGTTTTTCTAAGCAAATTTACGTCCAGTAGTTTGCCATCGCTTTCTGGACGGTCGGCTTCTCGATACCAAAGTCGAAACCAACACAAGGCACAAGGCCCGCACCTGGAATCGAACTCAGCACCCCGGCATTACGAACCGCGTTCGTAACGCCTAAGCCACAGACACATGTATGTGCAATAACGAAAAGAAAGTAAACTGTCCCAACGTCCACTGTGCATAAAAAAACTAACTGAAATAATATAAATACAAGATTGATAGACAACACTCCACTGATGTATATTTACCTCAGCGTACTTACTGATGCACTAATTTTGAATTTTTGCTTTTCCCCAATTAGAACTGTATTGCAGTAATAAACAGACCATGCAAAATGACATTTTGTTGAAGTTCCTTTTTTTTTAAATAATTATCTCTCTAGGGCAGAGAACAACTTTAACTCTTGTGTGATTTTGGTGCTAACTTATGGATGCCAGAGTTAGAAAGCAACGACAGCTCTCGGTACAAAATTAAATAACTTTAAGAACAGATGTCCTAGTGAAGTAAAGTAGAGGTCCCTTTTCCACGCCTTTAGGTGTATTGGGCATATAGGTCTAGACCTGTATTGTATTTTTTAAGACCAATCGGCACAAGATGGGCGATGTGGTCAGCGTCACGCCGGCCGCCTTTATTTAACAGGATCACATCAAGTACCCACTCAAGGTTGGGTCAGCTTGGGAAGCCAAAGCCATTAAAATAATATTAGGGATTCAAACCCACGACTTTCCGATCCGAAGGCAAGAGTCTAGCTAATACACCGTCATGACTCCAGGAGACCGGTGAGATTTTTTAAATGACTAGTTACAAGCTCGGTCTCCCGTACGAGAAGCCTACGTTGTAACTGGTCGGCCAACCTGCTTCTCGGTGACTAGACACTCGCCTCTAAACATGGGGGTCATGAGCGTTTTTAACTAACGAGTTAATCAGACGGTGTTTAATCAATTTTCACTGTTGGTAAACATAGCGAGTAGCCGTCCTTGAATCCACTTTGTAAACAGTTGCCAGTTGCGTGTGACCTGTTAATGTATCTGTATTGGAAATCTGGACAATGAGTCAGAGGTGCCGAAGCATAGAGGTTTAGAAAACTTCAAGCGCCTCACCACCCCCCACCTCCCCCAACGCCTCAAAACATGCCCGTTTTACAGTTTTTCATATATCGTTTGAATGTTTCAAAGGAACACATAACGACGTCAGGCCCCTTCTCATTGATACCTCGTTGCGACGAAAGGGGGTCTTCTATGTCTTAATGTGGTCAGCGTTACTCCGGCACCCTTTATTTCACAGGATCCTATCTGGTACCCACTCACGGCTGTGTCAACTTGGGAAGCCAAAGCCATTAAAAAAATTAGGCTCTATTCGGATTCAAACCCACCATTTTCCGATCCGAAGGCCAGAGACTAGCCATTACATCGTCGTGACTCCCGGAGAAACAGTAACAATTTTTTTTATTACTAGTTACGAGCTCGGGCCCATCTACACACTAGTTGACTTTTCATTGATGCTTGCTCAGGCTGGTCAACGTTGCTCAAGGTTAGAGGGGGGTCCCGGTGTACTGCTGTATTCACAAAGATTTGTGCGTTACGTTGTTAACTGTTCTTCTGTGAGCAGCGCCACCCACATTGTGTTCTCTCTCGTAAGCAGAATGGCAGTGTTTGTTGGTTGGTATATAACAACCGTCAAGGAATTTCAGTAGGATATGAGTTTATAGCAGAGCTGTCTGCGTTGGTGGGCGACGACGAGGGTACAATGGCACTAATGTAGTAACACAGCGTTTTAGGGCCACGGCAAAATGAAAAGAAGTCTTAAGCCACGGGACGTAGAATGCACTCTCTCGTAGGACCTAGGTTCAGTGTGTGGGGTAGGGGGAGTTAGGGTTAGGACCAGTTCTATATGTTATGGGGCCGTTAAAAGAGCTCACATCCTGTAATATAGAGCACGCTTGACGCCGGTAACACAACCTGGCGTGCTAAGCGGACACTCCTGACACTTAAGCTTGCGCATCTTAAAGGTTAGTACGCATGATTGAAGATCCAATCACAGTGTCCTGACCCGACCTCGTCACCCATAAGTGTGTAGATGGGCAGAGTTGTACCTGAGTTCGTTACGTGTTCCTTTTTTTTAAATTAAAATAAAAAAAAAACATTTTCTCCGTCTTCACGTGTTTTCATCCTTTACCAACTTTAAAGACAGGCATCCCCCAAGGAACCTAAGATATAGTAGACGCCCTGCGTCACAGCGAGACATCAATGGAAAGAAAAGTTAACCCTGATTGTGGGCTTGACGTGGTTATGTGTTTCTTTGACATTTTCAAACGATATATGAAAAATTGTGGAGCTCGCATGTGGTGGTGGGGTGGGGGGGGGGGGGTGGAGGTAGGTGGAGGTGTTTGAAGTGCCCAAAACCCCTATGCTCCGGCACCCCTGATTATTGTCCAGATTTTCTATGCAGATACATTACCAGGCCACACGCAAACTGTTTACCAAGTGGATTCAAGGACAGCTACTCGCTATGTTTACGAACAGCGAAAATCGATTAAAAAACCGGCTGATTAACTCGTTAGTTTAAAACGATCCATGAGCCTCCATGTTTAGAGGCGAGTGTCTAGTCACCGAGGAGCAGGCTGGCTGGGCAGTTACAACGTAGGATTCTCTTGCGGGAGACCCGGTTTCGATCCCAGGTAAGATGACGGAGTTTTTCTGTTAGGGCGCAAAATAATTAAAAATCCTAACCTGCACTGTTCATGGCGACAGCACTAGCCATGCAGACCTTATGCGTCAGGCTCACGACCCCCTTGTCTCCACCGCCCTAAAAAGTGATAACTACAGACAGTAAAGATAAAGGCGAGAGGATCGACTTCATTGCACCGGGTTTTATCCCATATGGCTCCAAAGAACAGTTAACTGCCTACCTGGAGCTTCGCACAGAGCACAACCTCCGTAGCTCCAGCGACGATACCCAGGGATCTCCGTAAACACTGTACTCAAAGCTTCCAAAAATACAGACAATAGTGACAGTTTTGTCACTACGCTACGGAAGATCCTGACCTGAAGAAGTAAAGTAAGTAAAAAAGGAAATATCTCTTTTCACGCCCTTAGGCGTATCGGGTATATGGCAAGAGCACCCATATTTTTACAGACCATCGGCACTAGGTGGGTAATGTGGTCAGCATTACCCCAGCCGTCCTTACTTCCTCAGGATATAATCCTCTTACCCATTTGATGATGGGTCGACCTGTCACCATGATAAAAATCCAGGCAGCCAGCAGTGGGTTTCAATCGCGGTATGTTGGGGTTACGAGACGGACTCGCAACGCATAAGATCATCAAGTAGCAGGTGCTTTTCAGAACGTCGCTCTCATCACAGTCTGCCTGAAATAAACTCGGTCTCTCGCCAGTTCGTCCGCCTCATGCACTTTCATACTCAAAGAGTCACTTATATCCTGTGCCCATCTTCGTGTCGGTCGGCTCCTGCCCTTCCTTCCTGGTACCATGCCTTCTGTTATAATTTTTTTCAATCCGTCGTGGCGCTTGATATGACCAAACTATTTCAGCTTTCGAGAAAGAATGCTGTTTATTAGCCAATCTTGCTTGATGTTCAAATCTTTTAAGATGTCAATATTTCTCATCTTCTTTGTCCAAGATATTTTGAGAATCTTTCTATAGCATTTCAGCTCAAAAGCCCCTATTCTCTTTCTTAAGGCCTGAGAGATAGTCCAGGACTCACATCCGTATGTAGTCACAGGGAAGATGCATGCTCTCAAAATTCTAATTTTGATCTCCTTGCTGGTGCTTAACCATAGACTTTTAAGACTGTTCAATCTTTGCATTGCTATGGCCATCCTCATTTTAATTTCTGTCGAACAATGCCTAAGCTACGGACATATAATAAATGTGTAAACAAATCTTTAAAATAAACACCAATACGCTATTTACAGGGCCACCTAGTTACTGACTCAAGGGAAGGGCCCCGGGCACCTATGTTCTTTCGCCGCTATGTAAAGGTTTTTGGAGTCAATGTATTCATGTTTCAAATAAACGGTATCAAACAGTAATGACCTTATGCTGAAAGACAGAATGACAGTGAATGTGAATTACGTATAATCGTCGGAAAAACTACAAGAGAGACGGTAGTTTGAATCTATGTTATTATTATAGAAGAGCTGACACAAAGAAAACATTGTCAATATTCAGCTCTTTTATAGATTTTCTTAGGGAATCATCATCATCCATAATCATCATCGTGGCCATCCATCCATCATCATTATCATCATCACCATGTATTCATTCATCATCATCCTCCAACATCAACATAACCATCGTTTCATCCTCATAATCCATCATCATCAGCCATCATCATCATCCATCATCAACCACCCATCATCATCATTATCATCCAACATCATCACCACCATCTTTTCATCATCATCATCCATCATCCTCATCACTATCCATCCATCGTCGTCATCATCATCATCATCACCATGCATGATTATTACCCCCCCCCCCCACCCCACCCTTAAAAAAATATATTTAAAAGAGGTTCATATTTGCTAATGTGCAGGGTAATTATACGCAAACCTCTTCATTTGTGACTAAGGGGTGGGGGCGGTTAAGCGGTCTAAGCTTCCAGATCCCAACGCCCCTGCTTCTATGAGTAATACCCTGCTGACTGGGCCCTTGTCGCAGGGATAAGATTATTGTACAATTGTTTCAAACAGTTTTCCTCTACATTAATTGTGTCTTCTTTGTCCTCTTCCTTCTTTGATTCTTGTATCCCCGTGTGGAGCATAGGTCACTATACGGTTCTCTGCTTAGTGAGATATCCAATTTCAGGCCAACCCTCCATAGTCGTTCTTCTTTTTGTGTGTGTGTGTGTAGCAATATACAATCATCAGTCATTTCACAATCAATAGAAAGGGATGTCAGAGCTTTTGAATTGCACAGTTCCGGGAAGGCTAATTCCGTCAACAAAGGCCTACAGAAGTCGGATGTGTCGGCCGAAAGAAACAAATATCGCAGCCACGCTATAAACCTGTTCAACGCAATCGCATCTTCAGATGAACTTTGAGGAAGATATATAGTAAAAGGAGCTGAAAGGTCGATTTCCCCCCTTACATATTTTTCTTTATAACAATAAGACACGCACCAGACCTGGCTCCTTTTAAAAAGAAGAAATGATTAAGCCAAAACAAAACAGATGCTGATTTGATGTTGTGGTAATACATGATTTTTTAGAAAACTACATTTCATTGTCTAGCTTCGCCCGGGATAGCGAAAGAAAGTTTTATTTCGTCGTCCTCTACCTCATCTTGGTTCCGCCGCTGCTCTTCTTTATAGGTCTAGTGGAAACTGGTGTCTAACTAAAACCCAATATTTAATTTGCCGTCTCCTACAGTGTGTTCGGAATACTACTGCACTAGCATGGACCTGTGTGTGTGTGTGCGCGCGCGCTCTTGTGTGTGTGGTGCTTGTGTGTGTGTGTGTGTGCGTTCGTGTGTGGTGCTTGTGTGTGTGTGTGTGTGTATTAGTGTGTGTAAAATACGAGTATCAAATCATAAAATGACAGCGTTGTTCAACAATTTCCTCTATCTGTGTCAGTCTCTTCGCTATGATATTTCTACCTTTGATTTTCATTATATGCTTCCTTTTGTCGGCGTCCATGGCTTAGGCGTTGCGAACGCACTTCGTAATGTTGGGGTGCTGGGTTTAATCTCAGCTGCAGGCGATTCAACTCCCCCCCCCCCCCCCTTTTACGCTGATTTCGTATAGCGGTACCGAGAGCCGGCCGTTCAAGGAACACTGGCAAACCACCCCCCCCCCCCACCCTCGCTCCTCCCAAAAAAATGCTAGGGTTGGCTCTGCAAAGTCCTGTAAAGGATACACAACTTAACTTCCTTCTAAAAGGTTTCAATATGTAAACAATGTCGCAACCCATTGTAAACGGGCCACCTCATTTCACACCGAAACGTCGACCTGTAAATAGACCAAAGGTTATGTCACCTTCCATGTAGATTGCCACCCCTGCCCTTTTTTCCAGTGCTAAAGGTGGCTGAATGCCCTAACATATACAGTGAAGTCCCTAACTCACACATAGCTAATTAGCTTGCCTGAGGCATGGGTACAGTCAACGAGCAAACAGAAGCACACCTCGTTTCCTGGTGTCGCTACAACATAATTATTAGTTTTAATAATTTATTCTGTTGGCTAAGTCAATGACGTTCTAAAATGTATTAGACAATTATGTAGTTTATTTCCGGATCTACGTTGGATATATATATATATAACGGGAAATACTTCGAACTGAGGATAGTTTATACCAAAATTGTCAGCAGGGTTTCAAGCCTTTTGATGTCTGGAACTTTAATAAAGATGGATTTGAAAATCATCAGCTTCGTGATGTTTTTAACTTTCCAGCTGCTGACAGGCTGTGATGCTAGTAAGTGCTCTAACTTGATGATAATTAAAAATCGACCAGTTATATATTTTAAGATGTTATTTGTCTTGCCGAGGAGCGGCTGGCCGAATAGTTAGGACGCAGGGCTCTCAAGCCGGAGACCAGGTTTGGAATTATCGGTAAGGCTTGGGATTTTTTTTTTCTGTCAGGGGCTAAATAGAATGCTAACCTGCACAGTCGTGGCGACAGCACTAGCCATGCAGCAGTCAATCCTCAGACTCGAAGACTCTGCATTCAGCGAAAAAGTGGTATAATAGAGGGAGTAATTGACAGTTTCATGGTCAGTTTGGTATTTGTCTTGCTCGGGTGAAACTCAACATGTTTGAATATTTGGACTAACAAATAAAATAAATAAATAAATAAATAAAGTAAAGGACCTTTTTCCACGTCTTAAATAGTGCTGGCAAATAGGGCTAGACCTATATTTTATAGACCAATTGGCACTTGGCAGGCGATATGGTCAACATCACGCAGGCCGCCTATACTTTCCAGATTTAACTATACCCACTGTAGCACTTCGCTCTTGTTTGTGTATGTTGATATTACACCCAGGTTCGTCTTTAGTTTTCTTCAGGAGGAGTCAATTGGAAGATTAAAGACGAAGATAAATGTGGTCGTATCAATAGTGGTGATGATGATGATGATGTTGTGCTAGTTGCATGCTATTCCCACCACTCTGATGATGGTGTAACAAAATGTCTTGAAACAATTCTTCTTTTCTAGACTGTCTTCATTACTACACCTCGGCAATGTCACAAATAACATCACTGATATTCTGAATGGCCACTGTTTTCACTCGTTGTTACATACTCTCGAGGTCGCGTTGTGTTCTTTATCTCTGTTTACTTATGAAATAGTTCTGCTCATTATGACTGCCACTTGGCTTCTAGTGCTTCATCGCCGACTCTAACATCTTAGTAATGTTTCTACCAAATTTGTCTCTCTGTTGAACATGGATCCGTGTATCTTGACCACTGTCTCTTGTCGTTCGTTGTTTCCTTTCAGGTCTGCTCTGTAGTGACTGTCTTTAAGGCTCCATGTGACTGGTTCCTCTACTTCTAGTGTTGAGCTGGCATCTACACAAATGAAGATCTTCGCAACTGAAGGCTCTCTTTTGCGAGGGTCTGTGTTATTAGTCTCTCTTCTTCTAAGTCTTGTAGACGGAGGGTTGAAGATTCTTTCTAACATGTGAGGGTCCATGTTATTAGTCCTTCCTCTTCGTAGACTGAAGCTTTATGATGGCTCCAAGTGGTTTCTTCGCAACCGAAGGCTCTCCTTTGCGAGAGTCCGTGTTATTAGTCTCTCATCTTTTAAGTCTTGTAGACTGAGGGTTGAAGATTCTTCCTAACATTTGAGGGTCCATGTTATTAGTCCTTCCTCTTCGTAGACTGAAGCTTTATGATGGCTCAAGTGGTTTCTTACCCACTATTCCTACTGAGATGCTGGGCTGTGTGGAACGTGTTTTCTACACTATGACTGCTCTAGAAAAGTACCAAACACTACAACATTATAGGGCCTCCAGGTATAACCATAATATGTGATCTCTTTTGGAGCTTAATGATAGATTTTCATAAAAAGGGACACGGAACGGCAGGGACACTGACAAAATAGGACTGTGCCGGTGAAAACTGAACGGGTGGTCACCCTAAAACTAGAACATGTTGTCGTATTTCTAACTCACTCTGGATATGAAGTCCTGAAAAGTAAAGGTTGCCGACTCGATGTTGACCACATCCAAGGTCGATTGCCGATTGGTGTACATAACTAAGAAATCTAGCATCATGTACTCCATACCACACAGGCCTTTAAGGAATCCTTTACTTTTGTACTTCTACTGTACATGATGCTTGAGTCGCCGTGACATAGCGGCTAGACGCTCGCCTGTGGATCTGAAGGTCGAGAGTTCGGGTCCTGACGGAGCTGGGCTGTCTTCAGAAATGACCTTGGCTTCCAGGTCGACCCAGCCTTGAGTGGGTACGTGATGCAGTCCTAGGAAGTAAAGGCGGCCGGCGTGATGTTGACCACATCACCCACCAAGTGCCAATTGATGTATAAAGATATAGGCCTAGCCCTATAAGCACAATACGCCGGAAGGCTTTGACAAGGGTCCTTAACTCTACTAAACTTACTGTGTATGAAGGGACGAGAAGGTATAATGGATGTTTTCAATCCACAGCCTCTATACTATATCGCCCTCAACCCTGCAGACTGTCCAGATGTCCGAGAGGTCAGCTACTGGACATAGCCACCTGCAGGTGTGTACTTGTCACCCAGCTTCCTGTCAACACAAGAGCAACGTGCCAAAATCTCTTTTGTCCCTTGGCGCTGTTCCCGTGTACATCCTACAAGACCGACACCAGAGGCTGCAAGACTTGTGAATGCCGCTGCTTCGCATCCGTCTGTCCCAAACACTGCCCTCTTGGCACGGAGTATACAACGGACACAAATGGCTGTAAAGTCTGCAAGTGTAGGAGCCAAAGCGTTAAGCATGTTTGTCGTAACGAGCCTTGTGGGGCTTTCTGCCCAACTGGCCTACATGTTGATCAGTTCGGCTGCCAGCTGTGCCGGTGTAAGCCAAAGTCCTGCGGGGGTCTGTGCAGGAACTTGTGCCCCTTTGGAAGAGTCATGGACGCTGCTGGATGTCCAACATGCACCTGCCTGGACAGCCCAGTAGGCCATTAATTCTCATCTAAATTTGTCAAGGCCTTACTTCTTAACTCTTTCTGTACCGCGCGACTCACAGTGAGTTATTGGTTCGTATAGTAAAAAGTGACTCGCACTGTCAAGGCATCAGCAACTTTTAACAGCATAAAGAAAATATGGATAAATAAACTGTATAGTTTTAAATCCAGTAACGTTTTTACAATTCTAATGTTATTTCAATTCTGACATACGCAAGTGACAGTTGGAGAATCCCTAAAGACATGGAACGAAAGTTAGATCAATTTGAAAACAAATATTTAAGGTGAAAAATATGAAAATAAAATGGGATAAATTCAAAAGGAGTGAACAAAAAGAGAAATGACTGGGTAACTGCTAGTATCAACAGTTATAAGACAGAGAAGATGACTCAACATTAGACACACCCTGAGAAGAACCAGCAGAGAATCACTAAACAGGAATTTAAAAGTGAGATAAACGTATTAAAGAGGCGGGGACACCCAAAAGAAACCCTGAGACGAATGTTGATGAGAGAGGCCAAAGCAGCTGGACTGGATTCCATCTATGATATTGAACTGACTGCACAGGATAGAGTGGAATAGAGGAATAGACCGGGAGCCCTATGTACTATTTAAAAGCACAACGAATAAACGAACAGAAAAAGTTAAGTGAATGACGACTTTCATGCCAGTGGGAAATTTGATGCCAGGCTGACTTTTGTTTCGTTCCTTATATTTTATCCCATCTCGGGTATTACGAGATTTCCTGGTGAATCGCCAGGAAAATCACATATTAGGGGGGTGGGGGGCGCGGAATTTGGAGTGTTAGGGTTAGTGTTGGTGTTTGTTTCACACCATAACCTCACTATATTGATCTTCCACAGTTCTGCACAGGAACCTGTTAATGAATTTTTCAGTTTCTATGAAGTTTCATTAGTTTCAGTTGTTCTTCAAGTTTCCACTCCAATAATAATTTGACACTAGAATTATATATATATATATATATATATATATATATATATATTATATATATATATATATATATGTATATATATATATATATATATATATATATATATATTATATATATATATATATATAAGGATAGAAAAGGATAGCATTTAAATTAGTAGTTTTCAATCTGGTGATGTCCTAGGAGGGTTTTAGGGGGCGTCAAACAATTTTGTATATATATATATAAATAGGATATATATATATATATTATATATATATATATATATATATATATATTAGTTAACAGATAGTTTACATTTAGAAATGCACTCGATTACAAAATATACATTCACTTTAATAATATACAAAAATAGTGTTCCAAACTTTAAATTAAAAGGTCAAAGACATTTATAATTTTAGGAACAGTTTGTAAATCTTCAGTTTTTAGAGGTGGTGGTGGCGGTGATGATGGTGAGGGAAGTTCCGTGGGAGTCTTCCTACGAAATGGGAGAGTGGATGCATGGGGATTTTGCTATAAATTTAAAAAAAAGGGCGGAAAAGGGGGAGGGGTGGAGGAACCACTTGATCTAATTACTGCAAAACCGCGGTTCCCTCTCAGAATCTAATTTTCCTGACTTTTCGTGTAGCTATATAGACTTTCCTCTTGCAGCTTTCTCCAGCTTCAGCTGTGTCTGTTTTCCAGTAGTTTGACACACAAAGCCAGTTTGTTCACAATATTTTTCTCTGTGTTCATTGCTCGTCAGGTAATAAAGCAAATTAAAGTATATAGTACCATTTCAGGAGATATTTAAATTCTTTCTGAATTCAGATTTTACTTTAGGTATGTGTGATTGATCAAATAAAGGTATGTGTTATCAAACAATCTTTCGTACTTCAAACTTCAAAAAAGAAAATCATTTGAAACTACCCAGCTCCTCAAATTCTCGTCCTGTAACTCTCTTTCCCTCTTGTGTCTGTCTGTCTGTCTGTCTGTCTGTCTGTCTGTCTGTCTGTCTGTCTGTCTGTCTGTCTGTCTGTCTGTCTGTCTGTCTGTCTGTCTGTCTGTCTGTCTGTCTGTCTGTCTGTCTGTCTGTCTGTCTGTCTGTCTGTCTGTCTGTCTGTCTGTCTGTCTGTCTGTCTGTCTGTCTGTCTGTCTGTCTGTCTGTCTGTCTGTCTGTCTGTCTGTCTGTCTGTGTGTCTGTGTGTCTGTCTGTCTGTCTGTCTGTCTGTCTGTCTGTCTGTCTGTCTGTCTGTCCGTCAGTCCGTCCGTCCGCCCGTCTGTCTGTCTGTCTGTCTGTCTGTCTGTCTGTCTGTCTGTCTGTCTGTCTGTCTGTCTGTCTGTCTGTCTGTCTGTCTGTCTGTCTGTCTGTCTGTCTCGCTTCATTCTTTCTCGACACTACTCTACGTGTGGTCCTCTTTCACTCTCTCTCAATCTCACATTTTGCATTTTAGTTCTCTCTTTGCTGCTGTCGCACTCATCATCATCATCATCCCTCTCTCTCTCCAACTGTATGTATTTGCGCAGGTGAGAAGAAGAAGAAAGAACAACACAACAACAGCAACAAAAACAACAACAACGACAAAATCAACAACAAAACCAACAACAACAACAAAAGCAGCAACAACAAAACCAACAACAACAAGACAAAAACCAACAACAACAACAAAACTAACAACAACAATACCAAAAACAATAACGACAAAACAACAAAAGTAACTACACCCAAATTACCGTGTAGATAGGACAGGGTCCCTAACACATTGTAAACTCTGTTCTAACCGCAAAAACTCCAACAGTCATTTTCGTTGAGTTTCTGCCTCAGAACTTACATTTGAGTAAATCGTAGCTGACTCGCAGCTGACCCTCTGTGCATTTGGCATACCCCGCCCAAGGAAAAGTAATAAACAAGAAACAAATAAAACAGTCAGAAAGCATTGTACTTGAGTAACAAACGAAACGCACTGATGTCATCTCCACTCTACGGAATGAGAGTTAACATGCTGCTATGTCAATAGATGTGGACTGTCTGTTCAAACAAATTCTGCTAATTTTGGTCTAGTGCTGTGAAGTACCTTTGATTTGCTTTACGTTTGGGGTATTTCCGTTGCATTCATTTGCTTTGTTGAGCTAACTAACGGAGTCAATTACGTGGCTACCTGAAATGTGTAAACTGATGATTCATCTGCAAACAATCCCTCAATTGTGTCCCATCAAAAAAGCTGTCCCAGAGAATGAATAGGTGGTGAGCTACCTGGTTGTATTGGGTTTTCTTCTTCATCATTGCTCTAAGGAACAGAGCAGGGAAAAAATAGATCTTTTTGGTTTGAGAAGAATGGCGCTTCACGGATTTACCAGGAGATGTGGCCGACGCTCAACACCAAAGAGAAGTGTGAGACGGATGGACAATCAGACAGTTACTGATACCATCGAAACTAAAACTCTTCATTTGCTGCTGAAGATAGGGACGCGGCATGTATGGAACTGTCCCGAGTACTATGATGTCAATTCTTAATTTCGCATTCAACATTCAAAATTCTTCCTAATTTCCTCGTTTGCCGTTTCGGGAGTCGGGTGGAAATATATAGTTCTGCTTTCTGCTCTTCTGGTCGTGTCGGCCATATCCTGAAGAGTTTCTCTGAAGTTATCTTTCCATCTTTTTCTAAATACCTTGTGCTCTACGTTCTTCTCCTTTATTTTGTGCATGCCTTGTAGGGGATAGCGTTGCAGGGTATTCTCTTTAAATGACCAAGCCATTCGATTCGCTGACTTTATATACAATTTAGAATTGTTTCTGTTCCGGCTTTTCCTCTTATGTCCTGTTTTTTTTAAATACTTTTTCTTCTGGTCACACGTGCATTCCTTTTGTGAGATATCATTTCCATGGTTATAGTTGGGTAAACGTTGTTAATCGTTATTGCTGAACAGTTTCTCAATGTCAGTGTGCGTGTGTGTGTGTATGTGTGTGTGCGTGTGTGTATGTGTGTGTTTGTGTGCGTGTGTGTGTGTGCGTGTGTGTATGTGTGTGTGTGCGTGTGCACCTGGCACCCACTCAAGGTTGGATCGACCTGGCAGCCAAGGTCATTTTTGACAAAAATCTGGCTATGCCAGGAAGCGAACCAACGACCTTCTGATCCACACGCGAGCGTCTAGCTGCTACGCCACGGCGACTCCCTAAAAATATGTATAATAAAATTGAATTTCTGAAGACAAATATTTTGAAGACCCTGCAGATTGTGAAACCGTAAGCTGCAGTTTAGCTGACGTTTGCCTTAATCCAACACTGCCTGGAGTCATGTGATGGTCAGGATGTTCGTGAGACAGGAGGCTGTGGACCACCTCAAGATCATTAATGCCACACGGCATGGAATATCATGACAAGTCAGTGAACTACAGGAGCCTTTTCCACGACTTCGTGCATTTTGGGCATATAGGGCCAGATCTATATTTTATAGAACTGGGTATGTGATGTGGTTAGTATCCCGCCTGCCGCCTTTACCTCCTAGGACTTTACCTCATACCCTAATTCCGATTTCGACAGGATCTGAACCCACGAGATCCTGATTCGCAGGCGAACGTCTAGCCGCTACACCAGGGCGGCTTCCAAACTGTGGGTAAAAACAAAGGGGAGATCACACAATTATTGTCAAGCTGTAGTAGTTGCAGTTATCTCTCTTAAACAGTGTATTTTATCCTGGGAAGTTAAGGCAACCGGTGTTAGAAAATCTCGCACATAAAGTGAGGATTTGTCTACAATCGTAGTCCCAAACATTTGTCAGGTGGCGCCCAACTTGAGTATAGGACAAGACCACCCACGGCAAACCTGCACATTTAAAAACAGATGTGATTACAAAGAGGACAGAAGGAACAACATGAAGCACTGTTAACAAGAATGATCAGTCATCCCCATGTGAGATACAAATTTCGTTATTTGAAGCCCCACCTGGCTTCTGCCGGGGACCCTGAATATAGCCGGGGCATAAATATGACCTAGCCATAAATATGGATGAACGGCTGAAAGGGGTTTCTGGGACCTCACAACGGGTGATCATCATCCGCATGGTAACACT